ACCAATTCCCTGGGACCTGGCGCCTTCCGGGAAGGCTTCTTGGAGGAGGTGGCCTGCAGCGACCAGAGAGAGCTGGAGCCGCAGGAGGAGGGGCGCAGTCACGTGGGCGAAGGCCGGCCTACGCGAGTAGGGCTAGCCAGCAGGCAGTGTCAAATAAGTGAGCACGCCCCACCCCGTCCACCCCTCACCCTGAGGCCCAGGCAGGGCCTTCCGGCTGGAGCACACCTGGCCCCGCAGCGCTACCCCGCCCACCTGGACCTACTTGCCCCGTAGCCCCGCCCACAAGCCCACCTGGCCACGCCTCCGCCACGCCCAGGAAGTGGGGAAGGCACCCCGGCCAAGCGGAGCTGGGTTGCAGCAGGTTGGAGGGCGCTGCTCCTCGGCTGCGCAGGTGAGCCGGATACACAGGTGAGGCCTGAGGGGAAACCGCCGCGAGGACATTCAGGGACACGCAGCGACCCTGGCGCCGCCCCCTCGCTCCTCCGGCTTGCCCCCACCCCAGGGTCTTCCCCAGCTTGTTCCCGCTGTTGCCCGGCCGCGGGGGCGGGGCCTGCAGGCGGGGGTTGGGCTGCGGCGGGGGAGGGGACCTGACCTGGTCACCTGGGCCTTAGTGTCCCCCGACCCTGTGTTCCCCGACCACGGCCTCTCAGCTGCGAGCCCCAGGCTTCGCCTACACCTTCGCCCCCGTAGGAGCACGGGAGCGCGAGGGCTCCTGGGAAGGAGGTCTGGCAGGGCAGGGCTGCCTAGGGTTCACCCACAGCCTCCCACACACCCCAGGTCAGCCTCACCTCCTCTGAAGAGGGACAGGAAACTCCCCAGAGCTGTACGGAGCCAGCAGATTGTCTTTCCTGTCCTGCCTTGGTTTCCCCAACAGTAAAAGTGGAGCAGGGATTTCTTTTGAGTTTGGGTGTGTGGACTTGGAGCCCAGGAGCTGGGCTCGTTCTTGAGGCCTCTACACCCCACCTAGAGCCCTGGCACCCCTGAGTCCTACAGTGGTGTCTGCACCAGCTAGGCCGGGCTACGGGTCCTGTGCTGCCCATGGTCACTTTGGGGGCCAGTGGGAGGGTCCCCGCCTGGCACAGGTCCCAGTCGTCTGCCCTGAGGCCTGTGTCAGCTCCTGTTCCAGGGCTGCCCCTGGGAGAGCTAAGACACACTCCCCGCACCTCAGGCCTCTGCGGCTCCTCTGTGAAGTGAGTGACAGGATTGTTCCCACCGGCTGTGGTGCAGCTGAGCACAGGCTGCAGAACAGTGCCTGTTCCCATGATGCCCGCCTCAGCCCCCACGTCCTGGCTCCACCCCACCCGGGGAAGCTGAGGCCCAGAGGTGGTGCCCCTGGCAGGGGTCCCCGCAGTGCAGCTCGCTGCCCCTGTGGAGGCCGAGTTCAAATGTCCTGGGACAGCAGGCTGCTGGTCTGGTTCCAGCTTGGCTGCCCATCTGGGGCTTTGGTTTCAGTTTCTGGGTCAGTCTTGGCGGCTTGTGTGTGTGTTTGTGTGTGGCCCATGGTAGCTTGGTACTCAGGTGATCGCCCATTGCAGCATCTGAGGATGGGCCCACAAACCCTGCGGCCCTGTCACTGGGTTGAAGACTATCACCTGAGTCAGGATGGGCCTGGCTCCCCACCTGGCTCTCGCTGGCTGCAGCCGGATGGGCCTACTCCCTCACCTGGCAGAGAGGAAGGGCTGACCCTCGCTCTCCCAGAACTGGGAGACACTGAGGGCGCGTGTGGGCAGGGCAGCGGGAGTCGTGTGCCCTGTCCAGGTGGCAGTCGGCTCCGCTTCCCTGTCAGGTGCTCCTTTGGGGATCCCGGTGCCAGCTGAGCTGGGATGGGACCTGGGTCGGGGGCATCTGGACTTACAGGCAGCAATGGGGACAACAGTGGGTGCTGCAGGCTGAGCAGGCTACGTGTGAGTGTGAGGGGAAGGCTGGCACCCAGGGGCTCCCCACTGCTTCTGAGGGGGCAGGGCGACCCTATGAGCCAGGCAGGCCTTCCTTCCTTGGCCAGGGTGTGTGTGTGTGTGTGTGTGTGTGTGTGTGTTCCAGCACGTTCATCATGGTGCCATCCTGTTTGGGGTGGAGGTTTAGCAGCTGGAGCCATGTGATGGCGGGACGGGTGACACTGACGTCTCCAGTCTGCCCTCGGATGGCAGCCCCGAGCAGAAGCCCTGCACACCTTGCAGATGGGGCTGCATAGCATGGGACTCACAGAGCCACATTCTGTCCCCAGATTGCACGGGGCTTCAAGTCCCAAGTGCAGCCGGGCAGGATTACCTGCGTACAAAGGCATCGTTGTGGGTTGTGCAAGGTTAGATGGACAGTGCTGTTCCTGCCAGTGAAGGTGGGAACCAGGGGACCCAGGGGCCCAAGGATGGCCGTGTGGGAGCTGCTCATGGTTCCCCAGCAGAGGGCTGATGAGCCGCCAGTGCAGGGGTCCTGGGGGCAGCTGTGACCACAGGCCAGGAGCTCAGGCTCTGTGGGGCCCCCTGAAGCTGACCTTGGGGAAAGAACTCAGAGCCGGAGGACTAGAGCAGGCAGCCCCCAGCCCCACTGGTTCCGGAACCCCATGGTGGGTCCTTGGCGAGCCCCTCCCCTCCCTGCTGCCCACTCTTGTCCCACTGGGAGCTATATAGGGACAAAGAGAAAAGCAAGTGCTGTGCGCTCCAAGGGCCCCATGTGGGGGACCTTTCCGGGCTGCCCTAAGCAGGGGTCACCACAAAGCTTCACAGAGCAGAGGCAGGGTGGCCCTGGCCCCATGCATGGACTGCATCCTCTTGGGACAGAGGCAGGGTGAGAGGGAGGCAGAACCCACACAATGCAGGTGTCAGCCAAGAATATGAGCACCAGTTTGCAGGGACATGGATAGGAACTGTCTCCATGCCACAATGGCTCATTCACTTGTCGGGAGACAGAGACGCTGACCGCGTCCAGCCATCCTGAAATTCTCTCCTCCTCGTGCGTCTTCGCAGGAGCTTCCTGCACAGCAAGCCCGGGCTGCCTGTGTTGGGTAGATCTGCTCTGTGGCCTGTGTGGCTGAGGAGGCTCCGGCCCCTCTCAGGTAGTCACCCGATGAGGAAGCTGTGGCTGCCTCTGCCTGGAGGGCAGCAGCAGGGAGAGTCCACTCTCAGCGCTGCCCCTCCCACGTCCCGGTGATAAGCCTATTGTCCGAGGCCTGGCGGAGGGGCTGTGGACCTGCGTGGGCCTCCCGACCACCCACCCATTCAGGCCTCCTCCCTAGACAGAAGCCGATACCAAGGCAGACATCTGAGCAGACTCCAGGGGGGCTGAGGCAGAGGGGGAGCGCACGTGTGTGGGAGCCCATCGCAGCAGCTAGCCAGAAGCGTGTTTATGGGAAAAGAGCGTCCTTGTCCCCTGAGCTAAGGAAGATGATGTATCCATAAAACAAGAACAAGAACAAGGTGTTGTGAGCAGGAGTAACAGGAGGGCGCAAGAGAGCAACAAGGAAAGGTGGAGAAGAGACTGGAAGGTGAAGGGGAGGGACTCTCCCAAAGGGACAGCAGAGGGATGGAAAGAGGAGGGGTGGAAAGGTAAGAAATTAGGAGAAAAAGCCAGAGGTTTCCACACTCACTGATGGGCACAAAGTTGATTTCCCCCAGAGAGGGCAGAATGGCGGAAATTATCCAGCAAGAGCTCAGCCATGGGCTGCCTGGAGACCCAGCGGGCAGGGGAAGCCCTCCCAGGCACGTAGCTCATACGTGGGAGCAGCCCCGGGCCTTGCTCAGGGCTGGCACAACCCAGGAGAGGAGTTGAGGGGTCAGGTGCCAACCAGCACAGAAGACAGGAGACGCTGCTTCGGGAGTCTGGGAGAAAGGCTCCTCCGGCAGTGTGCACTCAGGCTGGGGGCCGGGCAAGGGAGAAGTGGGGAAAACATTCAGGCCTTGGAAAAATCTGCCGCCCACCCTGGCTGCTTCTGGGGACGGCACCGGGGATGCGCCTCAGCGCTGCTGGGCTGGGGCTGCGCTGGGCTGGCTGAGCATCCAGCCCTGGAAGTTGGTGAGGTGTGGTGCCAGGGTCCCTGGACCCAGCCCCGCCAGCCCTCCCGGAAGTGCGCGCTGCACTCTGGAACCAAGCGCAGGCAGAGACATTGGCACTAGGGAAATAAGCAGGAGAGGAAATCATTAACAGGGCAGGCCTGGCTCCTGGTCTCCCGTGTGGTGTGGGCCGAGTGCTTCTGGGGAGGTAGCGGGGCCCTTCAGCAGCGCCTCCGGGGACACCTGAGAGGCAGTCTAGGCCTCTTAGGTGCTGTTTGGGGCTTGCAAGCACACGTGTGCCCAGAGGTCTCTAATGGCAAAACATGGGCATAGCAGTGTGTGTAGTGGCCACGGCCCAGACCTGCAGGGTGCCCACAGCCCCAGGCACTGCTCTTCTGAGGCCCCAGGTCCCAAGCAGGTGGCCCAAGCCTGGGGGTGTGGTTGGCTAGAGACTGGCTAGAGATGTCTCGCCCAGCGATGATTACAGGCCGCTGGCTCACCCGACAGGTCCCTCTTTGGGGACCTTCAGGACTTTGCCCCTGTTAGAGACGTCGCTGCCCACTGTGGCCACCTGTGCCAGCCGGGTCTGGGACACTGACTCAGAGAAAGCTGTCAGACGTGGCTTGTGGGAGGCGGGGTGCAGGTCTGCGTGGGCCCCATGGAACCACGCAGCATGCCCCAGGGTAAACAGGCTGAAAGTGCTGCTCGGGGCGCAGTGTCCCTGCCCCACCCGGGGGTGCTCACAGCCTGAATCTAAGTCATTGGATTTCTTTCCAGGCCTGGGTAAGCAGCAGACAAGGTAAGGAGGGTGTGTGACCTCGGGCAGCCCACGCCTGGCCAACATCACTGTCACAGACAGATAGTCCTGGAGGAGGCCTGGCGTGGCTGCCTGTGATTGGGAATGTCCTCAGGAATGTGTCCTGAGGAATGTGCCTCCCCCTGGGGGCGCAGGCCGGGCTGCCCCTCCCCCTGCTGGGAGCTTTCCTTCCTTTCCCAGGATGGTTTTAGCAGGGATCTCCTGTCCCGGAGAAGTGTGGTGGCCAGAGTCGCCCGCTCCCCAAGCATTGCTGGGCAGACGCAGGCTCCAGGCCTGGACGAGCCCACCTGGTGGCTGCACAGTAAGTGGGGGTCTCCAGGGCCCAAGCGGTCGCTTTTGCCTTGGGATCCTGGGAGCTTTTTGGAGCCACGTTAGGATTGAAACTGATGGCTGTGGAGTTTGCTGTGTTTTTGAGTTCAAATCAGACCAGAGATTAATTTTTAAGTGCCTCTTCTGACTTGATTCTTTTCCTAAGCAGATGTGTGTGTAGGGCTTCTGGCTTTTCCTTCCGGGAGCAGAGTGGTGATTTCTTGCCTTTTGGGGTGAAGTTGCTCCGGTGTGGCGCTGTTCGGTGGCCTGAGGAGACCCCCAGGGTCAGGTCCGCACGCAGTACGATGCTGTTGTTAGCACGGTTATCATTTGTGATCAGGTGGTCAGCCTGGGCTCGGGTCTGCCCCCGTGTCCCCTGTGCTTGTACGAATGGTTACGTGGACTGCGGGCCCCTGCTTGGTGTCAGTCTCATGTGTCTCCTGTTCAGTGGCTTCCTCAGCTGGGGTCTATTGGGGTTTGTAGTTTAATTTAGAATTGTGTTAAGTAGACATTCTGCATTTGGCTTCTTTGGTCTGGGGTTAAATATTTAATTTTTGGACTCAGGCATGGCAGAGGGAGGCGTGAGTGAAATCCTTTCCAGGTCCCCAGGAAAAAGGACCAGGAACGTGGCGTCCCGCTGCTGAGCCCAGCACGGAGCCATGGGTCCCTGCCCCGAGCTTCTTGTCATTTCCTATTTGAGGTCTGGGCTGCAGAGGGGTCTCCATGTGTGGTTTGTTTTTTTTTTTCAAAGTTTTATTGATAAACAGCAATGAGACAGTTTCAAATCAAATCGGAAGTACAGTTTCAACAAATAATACACTGCATATATTCTACTTAGTGGTTAATTGCTGTACAAGATGCGGACTTGTGATCCTATTTACAAACACCATTAGAACAAATCATTCTATTCATTAAGAGAATGTAACTATATATCTATCCTAACCACTTTGAATACACAGATACAAAATGGACATTCATCTGTATACCCCATTTTTTCTAAGTTCCGTTATTGAATATTATAGGTGTGTAAACTCAGCAAAATATTCTAAAAGAGTCCAGTAGCCCATAATAGCATTGGTCTTCTGTTTAACTGGCAATGGCAGAAATTATTGACCTGAGTCCCTCACAGCTCAACATAACAGCATGGCTTTACTTCCTGTATTTCGTCTTCATACTTTTCTACTGGATGGTTAAGACCAAGATAAAGCAGGACCTATGCAACAAGAGCTGTAGCTTTTTGGTCTGAGATCCATGAGTTTAAAATAAGGCAAGAAATCACTTTTCTTCATGGACCCCTTCGAGCCCCTGAGGTCTCCTCAGTCCAGTGCCACGGACAGAGCTGGTCTGGGACTCAGCGGGGCCTCTGGCTGCCCACAACCCCAGCTGCAAATGCCTTCCCTGTGGGGCCTTGTGGGCTCCTCGTAGCGCCCCCTGGAGGAAGCTGGTGCTTTCCTGTGTCTGGTTTACTGCTCTGGGAACTGAGATAGCAGGCGTCCCTTGCTCATTGAGAAGGTCTGGTTTCCAGGTCCCTGGAAATTGTGGGAGACCCTGAGCATCAGAGGGACGCAGTGAGAGCTGTGGGGACAGACCTTAGAGTGACCAGTCGGTGGCTTGAAGCTTGTGTTCAGGAGCTTAGATGTGGCCTGGCTTGCCCAGGGTATGCAAGGCCCCTGCCCTGGCCGATGTGCACTGTCACGTCCCCAGCTTCCTCGGCACATGCGCTTCGCAGTCATGTGGCAGCAAGGTGCCATGCTGCAACGCGTGTTGAGCCCACAGGGGCTGGCTGGAGGGACACAGGTACCACCCCCACCTTGTCTCTCCCCAGCCAAAGCCAGTGTTGGGACCGCACTGACCCTAGGGGACTGAAGCTTTGTGCTGAAAGGAGGAGCTGGCACTGTCACTGGAGGGCCATAGCACGGTGGACAAAGGATGCCAGCTGCCACAGATCAGGCAGGGGCCAGGGCAGCAGTGACAGGTGTGGAGCTCGGACCCTGCACCAGGGAAGGCATCCTGGGGCTGCAACTTAGGGTCAGAACTCAGCCAACACCTCTGTCCCCAGCACCCCTCACAGCGGCTGGGGGCCTGGCTTGGACTGGTGCCCTTTGAGCTCCTGATGAGGGATGGGCAGCCGTATTCCAAGTCAGAAATGCGGGAAGTGAAAGCCCTGGGGGAAGTTTCCCGGCCCACCAGCATAGCCACGGGGGAAGGCCAAGTCAGACATGCCTGGGCGCAGGTCTGGCTCTGTGCCTCCCTGTGCTGTGTCCCCCCCCCCCCCCCCCCACCCCCAGCTTCCTCACAGCCTGAGCCTCCCGGGAGTGGAGGCTCAGGGGTCTGTTGAGTGAGGTGGGGCTGGGGGCACTGCTGTGTCCTCTGACGCCAACCTCTGGGAAGGTCCCTAGGACGGCATAGTATCCCCATGGGGGCCACAAGGAAGTAGTTCTAGGAGGCCTTGTGGCCTCCAGGCATCTAGGCAGCAGTGAGGGACAGAACCAGGATTCCGGTCCTAGTCTGCAGGACCCTGGGGCCCTGGCACCCAAATGGCACTACCTGCTCCTGCTGGGCACTGCTTCGGGGGAAGCCGGGTGACCTCTGAGGTCCAGCCCAACCCCTGGCTGCACCCATCTGACCCCTCTGAGCTCAGAAACCAGCATCTGACCCCGTCCTGGCTGGGATGAATTGCAGTCAGGTGCCAGGCCCTCCCTGGTTGTCCCTGAGGGCTCCTGGTGACCAGGGTTGTGTGCGCCATATCCTGGGGTCTCTGCAGGGCTCTGTCTGTGCCATGGCAGATGCTCAGGCACAGGGGCTGCAGGCCTGGGGCCCTGGAGGGAGGCCCTCGTGTGCCCCTGCCCACCTCTGTCCTTCCCTGCCCCCAGGCGCCTGCAGCCGCTGGCACTACAGCATGTCCCAGCGGCACTCCGACAGCTCCTTGGAGGAGAGGCTGCTGGAATACCGCTTCCATGCGGAGCTGCAGCTGGATGCCAATGGTAACCCCAAATCCAAGCTCCCCATCATCCGGGGCTCCCTGCATTCCAAGACCAATGCTGCCTTTGAGCCAGAGTCGCCGGCGCCCGTGCAGTTGCCCACGGAGGACAGGGAGCCGCGGGCCGTCGTCCTGAGCACGCAGAGCCCCGCGGCCCTCAAGGTGGGCACTCAGCAGCTCATCCCCCGGAGCCTGGCCGTGGCCAGCAAGGCCAAGACCCCCGCCCGCCACCAGAGCTTCGGGGCGGCCGTGCTCAGCAAGGAGGCTGCACGGCGGGACCCCCAGCTCCTCTCGGCCCCCAGCTTCTCCTTGGATGACATGGACATGGACCTGGGCTCAGGGGAGCCACTGAGTCGGAACCGGCGGAACCAGTCTTACCGGGCAGCCATAAAGGGCCTGGGGTCTCTGAGCAGCAAGGGGGATTGCAGCCAGCTGAGCCCCAAACTCCAGACTCTGGCTGAGGAGCCCAGCCAGCCTGCAACCCAGTGTCCAGCCAAAAACAAGGTAGGGGCTTCATCCGGACAGCGGCTCCAGGCCGGCCTCAGTCTCCACTCATGGGTGGGGAGGGGTCTGACCCGCTCCCCTTCCCACCTTCTGCTGCTGTGGGCAAGCCTGGCCATGCGCAGGGCACTGGCGGTTTATTCTAGTGTAGCCCAAGCCCTAGGTGGGGGTGTGGGCATCCC